TGGAGAGCCCGGAACAAGATTCAGAGGCGACAGAAAGGCCAGGCAGTCACTCACCGTCACCCGAGGGCCCTGGCTTCAAGCCGCAGCCCTTTATGACCGCGCAAGTGTCTGCAGGCGGGTTCTGCAGCGCGGGCGGGTGGCTGGGCTGGGTGGACCCGTGGCCTCCCCTCACCCGGGGCCTGGCAGCTGGTGTGGCCTGAGGACCTCAGCAGGGACGGTCCCCGGGCAGCAGCGGAGGACAGGCCCCAGGGTGTGGGCGCCTTTGTTCTCTGCTTGGTCCTGGTGGCTAATGTGTGGCCACCAAGGAGAATCAGCACGCCAAGTCCAGCTAGGGCAGGAGACTGCCTGCCTTGACAGGAAATGCACGAAATCACGTGGCGACGTGGCTGGGAGGAGCTGGGGCCATCTGTTCCCAGGGTCTGTTCCACCTTGAGAAGTGGGGCGCCCACCGGCGCTGAGTCTTGGGGTCTTGGGGCGTCATCATGGCCCCTGGGTGCACCTTCCCTTCCCCACCCTCCCTGTGGGTTCTAGAGGTGAGTGCGACGTCACAGGCCGACCGGCGTCTTCCTGGACCTCCTGCCACGCAGAGCAGGGTGGTTTCCTGGCCGAGCAGCCGTGGGCAACCGAGGAGGGCGCGGTGGGGAAGCTGGACACGGGCGCCTGTGTAACTGGGCACGCCACTGCACGCTGGCCACGGTTGCCACATGGGGATGCCAGGCCAGGCACGCCGCTCTCCAAGAGATGCTGGGGATCCCGATTTCCAGGTGGATTTGCTTCTTTAAACAAAAAAAGGCTCAGCATCTATTTCCAGTTTCTTACAAAAGCAGTAAAAGGCAGCCAGGGTGGCGCACCTGTACCCAGCGACCCAGGAGGCTGAGGCAGGAGGAGCCCCTCAATACCAGCCTGGGCAACTCAGCAAGACCCCGTCTCAAAATAAAAAGGGCTGGGGGGGGAGCTCAGGGGTAGAGCCCCTGGATCCCAGAACCAATCAATCGATCCATCCGTCAATCAAATAAAAGTCGCGCAATATCCGGAGGCGGTTTCTGGCGCGGGCCGTTGGTTTGTGGTCACTGCAGTTGAGCCTTGTTCTCAGGTTTAACATTTGCTATTTCCGTGGGTTTCCAGTGACCCCCAGGGTCCCTTGCATGTGGTAAAACATGACTTTGTAGCGACTCTGAACTTGAGCTTTGGAGTCACGGCTGGCCAGGGAGCAGGTCACTGGCTGGGGAGCCGCAGGCTGCCTGTGGCATTGCGTGTCTTGCCCCTGGTAAATCTCCCGAGGTGACGGGGCTTCTGGTTCTCTGCAAGACAGAAGGGGGCAGGCGCCAGGGAAGCGGGGAAGGGGAGCTCTGGCCAGAAAGGAGCAGCTTGGGATAAATTAAACGTGCAGTTTGGCTCTGCTGGGCTCACGTTCACTGGGTGAGTCAACCCTCCATCCTCGAGATCTATGGTGAGAATGAAGCCCCGCCGCGGGCGCTCCGGCCAGCCTCACCAGTGAGCGATGAGACCGTCAAAAAGAGTTAAAAGGCGGTCACCCTGGCGCCATGGGAGGGGGCGTGCGGGAAGCGCCAGCCGCCGGGCAGAATGGGATCTGGGAACTGGGCCCCGCGCCAAGGCTTCTGGGCAGCCAGCAGGGGGGAGCACAGGGACGGGCTGCAGAGCTGACCTTCACTAGGAGGAAGGATGATTTAATGTTTAATTTTTAGTGTTTTCTTAGCATCATAGGACTCAGAGGGCACGGGCAGCACCGATGACCCCGTCACTGGGGAGGAGTGTCCCCCACATAAAAGACGCCTGGGGCACAGGGGCTTGTGCAGGTGAAACAGGTCCCCGGGGAGAAGATGTCCCCAGAGCATGCTTTCCAGGCAGAGCTGGGCGCAGGTCTCGGTAGCGAAGGACAGCACCCCTGCCGGGTCCCCACAGTGGGCCTCCACCCGCCTGGGGCGCACTGTGGCTCTCGGCCCCAGGGCTCGCGCCTTGGCCAGTGCTGGGGGCCACGTGGCTATTTGGGGGCCGATTTTATCAGCGTTCTTGCAGGAAATGGGAAAGGAGCTCTGCCTTTCAGACCCTGCTGGTCCTGGTGCTGCGAGCTTCCCACCAGCGCCGGCGTCTGCGCCACCCACGTGGGGGTGCTGGCTTCGCTCAGCCGGGTGCGCGAGCTCCGTCCCTTCTGACGGCAACCTCTGCAGGCCTGCTGGGGCCGGGCCTGCCCGCTCTGCTTGGCTGCAGGCCTGAAGGGGAGAGCCTGCTTCCGCGGTGGTCATAGGTGCTCAGGTTTACAATCCCTGGAACTGAAGTCATTTCCCATCCTTGCATTTGGCAAAAGCTCTATTGCCAGATGCCAGGGATATGACAGTAAGAAGACGGGTGTGACCTCATGACATGCTTTGCCTGGGGGGGCTGATGGACTTCAAGGCCGCCCGAGAACCAAGCCACAAACTGAGCCCCACTCTGGTTGCCAGCCTTCCTTGCCCTGGCTTCCCCCCCCCCCCCACATGCCGAGCTCTACTGGCCTCAGGGCCTTGGCACCTGCTCTGCTCTAGGGGTGGAGCAGCCTCCCCACGTGTGCACTCACAGGGCTGGCTGCCTCTGGGTCTCCACTTGGCTGTCCTCCTCCCTGACCAGGCATCTCGGATGATGGATGCATCCTCGCCCATCATCTCTAGCCCTTGACCCTGTCTCTGTGAAGTCATGTGCTTGCTGCCACCTCTGTCACCCACACCCAGCGCAGTGTCTCCCCCATCCAGGAAGCCCATGGGAGGTGCAGTGGAGGGCCTGGGATGTTAAATCCTGTCTCTGTCTTGCCTGCCCTGGGCCAAGATGAGTTTAGGCTTCAGGGCTTTGCGCCTCTCGCCCCAGAGAAGGGTCAAGGCAATGGCCTCAGCTTCTCTCCCACCTCATCCTGTCCTCCCAGCTCTTTCAGGGACCTGATCCTTTCCCCACTGAGGGACAAGGTCCCCGTGTGGCCCTCACCACCGACCACCCCCCAGACTCCCCTCGCGATGATGACCCTGCACAGATTTCAAATTCTAGCTTTTCTTGGAAAATTGAAAGGCACTGGGCAGTGGGGGGAGCTCGGAGCTGGGTGTGACCGGCCACAGCTGGGAGGTGGCACATGTCCTGCACCTGTGGCTCCTGCCTCAGGTCCCTGGGCGATTCGTCCTCACGCCCACTCCTGGGTGCTGGGACAGTCGCTCAGCTGTCCACAAGAGCCCTGTCCCCGTGAAGCCCGTGTCCTGCCGTCTGGAGCCAGCCCTGGACATGGCCTGTGTGCCTCCTGCCTGGGACACAGATGCCATCAGTGCCTCGGCCAGTGCCACTCAGCTTTTATGATCGACATGGACTTACTTACGCGGTGCAGGTGGCCACCCGGTCACGCGCAGGCCTGTGGTGAGCACTGCGGTCTGCACTCAGCGCACGCCTGCGGCTTCACACCATGCCTCCTGTCTGTGCTAAGACCCTAAGCTCCCAGCCGTGTGGCGTGTGTGTGACAGGCTGTCGTCAGCTGGAGCGCCGCTGTCCTCGAGCACACGGTGCTCACCCGCCCAACAGTATTCAGGTCCCCATTTCCCCACCTCTCTCTGCCCCCCCCAGTCCCCTGTAGTCTACCCTCTACTTCTGTGTGACCAGTCTTTTTAGTTTCCACAAACGAGTGAAGACGGGTGGCCTTTCTGTATGCGCCTGGCTTATGTCACTTGGCACGATGCCCTCTGTCCCATCCATGTAGCCACAAACGTCAGGATGTGTCCTTTCTGATGGCTGAACCACAGTCTGTTGTGTAAACACATTTTTTTTTTAAATCCGTGCATCCCTCAGTGGACACCCACGTGTTTGGTGACCCGCGTTGGCTCGGGACATGGCTGCTGTGGCTGCAGGCGTCTCTGCCATGAGGCTGCCACAGGTTTTGGGGGGATCCAGACGGGGGATGCTGGTCGAGGCCAGCTGTGCTGTGAGTGGTCTAAGGGACACTCTGCTGTTGTCTGACGGCTGGGGTCATTTACGTTCCCACCCACCATCTGTACAAGCTGCCCTCCCCAAATCCGTGCTGCCCTTCATTCTTGTTTTGGTCATTTGTGGTCGTTCTGACGGGTGAGGGGACAGCTCATTGGGGGTGTTCTGTTTTTGTTTATGCTTTTATGGTGCTGGGGATTGAACCCAGGGCCCTCAACCCCTGGACCTCATCCCCAGCCCTTGTTTGTACTTTAGCTAGAGACGGGGTCTCCCTGAGTTGCTTAGGGCCTCACTACGTTGTTGAGGCTGGCTTTCAACTTGCGATCCTCCTGCCTCAGCCTCCTGAGCTGCTGGGATGACAGGCATGCGCCATCACACCCGGCTTCCTTGGGCTTTAGATTTGCATTTCCTTGAGGATTCATGGTGGTGAACATTTTTTCATTTTGCGATGCCAAACAGCATGTGCACTCTACTCGGTCTTGTCAGTCATCTAGAGATGATTTGGAGTACACGGGAAGGTCAGGGAGTTATATGCAAACACTGCCCTATCCTGCACTGGGCTGGCACGTGCTCAGATTTTCTAATGTATGTGTACATTTTTTCAAATTTACTTGTTTATAATTTTTTTTCTAATCATCTGAGTTTAAGTGTAGCCATCGTTCCCGCTCACCCCCAACACTGCAGTCTGTCTCTCCCGGAACGTGTCCCATTGCCACAGTCGGCTTAGGAAATTCAGTGTTTAACATTCTCAAGACACTGTTACCCGCGCCACCCGCCGGCTGGATTCAGGTGCCTCCACCTGGGGCGAGAACATTCTTTACAGCAATCTTGTTCCCACCCAGGGCCACGACTGCACCACGTGCCTGTCTGCCTCCTGGTCCCCTTTGCTGAGGAGGGCTCTCCGGCTGGCTTTGTCTCTGGCGACCTTGACATTTTCGGAGAGGAGCAGCCAGTCATTTAGAGAATCTTCCTGAGTCGGGTCTAAGAGATCCCGAGCTGCGCTCCGAGAACAGGATCCAAAGCAGCGCCCTCCTGTTTTCTTTCCCCAGGACCCAGCAGCAGGCGAGAGCGACCGCTGTCAGCAACCCGCAAACCCGTGTGCACCTCCGCGGACCCCGAGGAGGCCGCCTCCGAGGTGCTGCGTGCCATCCAGGTGGAGAACGCCGCCCTGCAGAGGGCGCTGCGCGGCGGGAAGGCCCCGCCCACCGGGAAGGCCCCGCCCACCGGGAAGGCCCCGCCCACCGGCCCACAGGTGCCTGCCGAGGGGGCGGGGCCGGGCGGGGTCTGAGCAGCAGCTGGAAGAGCCTGTGGGGAGAGAGGCCCCGCGGCCTCCCTGACCTGGGACAGTCCTCCCCGCCCTGCCAGGCCCCAGTTTACCAACGTCTTGTAGCTTTTTTGCCCATTTCTGGAAGCCCTGGGTGCCATCTGCCTTCGTTGTGGCTGATTTCCTTGCAAGCCCTGGGCTACCCGGGACCAGGGTTGCAAACAGCGGAGTCCGTGAAAGAAGGGCGGCCCCCAAGCTCTGGCTCTCTGCAGACGTCGGTTCCCCGAGCCTGAGCCCCACAGGCTCCCGGGGTCCTCGCCGCTCCTCTTGTTCACGAGCCTCCCTGGCCTTGAGCTGCTAACAGGAGGGCCCTGGGGGTCCTCAATGCGCATGTCCCTGCTCAAAGCCCGTTTCTGTCTCTTCCACCAAGAGCCTTGTCCCACTTGGTGCCCACAGTCACCCTGAAACAGGCAGGGCTAGTCACTTAGCCCTGGTGGCCACTGGCCCCTGGCAGAGCAAGGTGGCCTGCTCAGATGGTGGCCCAGGTCTGCCTGGCTTCACTCACCACCACGGGCTGCCCAGGCTCCCTCAGGGCCATCAGGGGACACTATTGTCCCTTCCTGGGGCTGTGCTCCGCCCACACTGTGTCTGGGGGTTTGGGGTCTCTGCCCCTCTGCCCCCTTCTGTGAGTGAAGAGTGTCTGGTGACGACTTTGTTCTGACCTCACGTCATGTGATGACATCTTCCCAGGATGCCGAGGGGCCACCAGCAAAACCGTGGAGCAGTCTGCTGCCCGCCAAGGAGGAGGCCGCTGAGGTCAGTGGGTGAGCCGAGCCAAAGCTCCGGGTGCCCGTGGCTCTGCAGGGCCTTCCCTCCCATGGCCAGCAGGGCCTCTGCACCCTGCCCGCTCCACAGTTGGGGGTCTGGGCCTGGAGGGGTGGATCCAGGGTTCCCACTGGACTCCGCCTGCTTTGCCCTGGACACAGCTGGAGTTCCACTGAGATAGAAAGGTTTTTGGGTTTTTTGAGGGGGTTGAACTCAGGGGCACTCAGCCACTGAGCCACACCCCCAGCCCTATTTTGTCTTTTACTTAGAGACAGGGTCTCACTGAGTTGCTTAGGGCCTCACCATGGCTGAGGCTGGATTTGAAGTATGATCCTCCTGCCTCGGCCTCCCGAGCTGCTGGGATGACAGGCGTGCGCCACGGTGCACAGTGAAATAGACAACTTTTGATGTGAGAAAGTTTCCAGTAGCTCACTGAAGCAGTTGCCCCAGGAACCCCCAGATCGGAACACGGGGCTCGTGGGGGTGGCTCTGGGTCGGCCAGCCCTGGCCACTGTCACTCTTGCAAGCTCTTTCCTGTCTCCAGGGCAGGACGATGGCCTGAGGGGCATGTGACTTTGACAGTGGCCCGTGGTCTTGGCCAGGAGTGTTGCGTGGACGTCTGTTAATTGACTGTTTCCCTCCTCAGCCGCCTCCCAAGGCCCTGGTGACCAGCAGTCCTGAGCCCCCGGGGACGGCAGTGGGAGCCAGAGCCGTGGACCAAGCCATTGACAGAATCGGCCTCTGGGGAAGCAGGTACAGAGGGGGACAGCCCCAGGACTTACCGCCCTGCTTCTCCTTGCCACTCCCTGTCATGCCAGGCCATTTGAAAGTGACACTCTAGACTGTACCCTCCTTCTGCACCCATCCAGCCCAAAGCCCCAAACTGGCCTGACTTCTTTCAGGCAAGTGACTCTCAGCCTGCTCCCCTGGTCCCCAGCTGTGTAAACAGCCTTCTCAAGGTTGCCACGGACCTGGAAACTCCTTTTCTCTGTTCAAGTTCATCCAGGTAGAGCATTTGCCCCTTATCTTGTAGCATCAGGTTCAGAAATTGTCATGTTTCGTTATCAAAACAAAGGCTTCCCTTAATCTTCAGAAAGATGCACCCCCTGGGGCCTGGCACAGCCTTGGCACACAGGCACTCACCCAGGTCTGTCTTGTAGGGTTGTGTATGTTGCAGACTGTGCAAAAGCCAGGCTGAGGGGCAGAGGGTGCCTAAATCCCGCCTGCATGCCGGTCACCAAGCAGCCCCGAGCTGAGACTGCATCGGTGCAGAAAGGGGAGGGGGCGCTTCCTCTTTTCGAAGGAGGAATTTATTAGCAAAGCTGTGTGGCCCCAGGTCTGCGCACACCCAGGGGGCTCCTGTTTATAACTTGTCAAAACGGAAGAGGCTCAGGGCGGAGCCGTCCCTTCCTGCGAGCTTCCTCAGACCCAGGTGGAAACCTGGCTGTGCTCTGTGGCGGCCATAGGTAAGAGCTGTCTGCCCGCGCAGAGGCCTGGCCGCGAGGCTGGGGCACTGGTGGTCCACTATGGCGGCCACGCACCTGGGTGTCTTTCTCCGCCACAAGACCCTCCTTGCTGCCCAGACTTGGGGGTGCTTGGCCTTCAACAGCTCATTGGGGAGTGACCGGCCCCCTCTGCTGGGTCACCTTTGTCCTCCGAGATGAGGGGAGCAGAGCGGTCTCTGAAAAGGGCCAGACGGGAAGGCCTGTGACCTGGCCGCTGTTTTGGCGTTGTGTGGTTTGCTTTAATGACACTTTGAAAGCATGAAACCTTCCTTAGCTAGTGGGTCACACGAAACAGGCCACCGGCTGAGTTTGACCAGACCTGAGTTCAGCTGAACCCTGCTCTTGAGTCTTAGTGAGTTCCCTGTCGGCTCAGGAGGCCAGCCCAGGAGGCCAGCTCAGGAGGCCTGCTCAGGAGACCAGCTCAGGAGGCCCGATCAGGAGGCCAGCTCAGGAGGCCTGATCAGGAGGCCAGCCCAGGAGGCTAGCTGGCTGCACAGCTCTGCTCCATACGGTGTCTCCAGCTGGGCTCTGATGTCCTCGCTGATATAGAGCTGTTACAAAGGAAGAGACAGGGATGTGCTCTGTGTGTCTCTGTCCCTGCCTGCACCAAAACAAATCCCATTTCAGACAACAGCAGAAGTTTCTGGAAGTCCTGCAGGCCATCGAGAGTGACTCCGCCCATTTCAGCGGGATTGTTGTTTCAAGCAAGGAGCGAGCACAGGACCCAGAGGTGAGAGCCGGGCAGAGACTATCACTGCCTCCCTGAAGGCCGGGGGGAGTCCGGAGACCACTCATTCCTAGGCGGTGGGATTCCTCTGCTGGTGGCCACTGGGCATCTCCGCCCGAGTCCCCTGTCCCCTCCTCCCCAGCACAGTCCTACGCATGACTGGGCAGTGGAAGCAGAGAAAGCAAGGTGTGGGCCGGAAGTTTCTGGAAGGAAGTCTGTCCATGCAAGAGGAAATATAGAGAGCCCGTGAGCCCTAGGAAAATGCCCCACGCTGCCAGTAATCAAGACGTGCAAACTAGAGCCACCCCAACACCCCATCTGGTAGCTGCACTGGCCAATTATTGTTGATGACAGGTGATCTCCAGGGCCCCCAAGGTGACACTGAGCCCCGCCTGCCGTGCCTTGCTGATGGCTGTGTGCACGGATGGCACTCTCCCCAAAAGCAGAGTGGCCAGGCGCAGGGAGAGCCTTGGAAAGCCCAGCAAGCCCACCTCCTCCCCTTGAGAAGACCACCCAACAGAAAGCCTGGCTGGATGTGGGGGCCCACGCCTGTCATCCTAGCAGCTCAGGAGGCTGAGGCAGGAGGATTGCGATTTCAAGGCCAGCCTCAGCAACAGCAAGGCACTAAGCCAGTCAGTGAGACCCTGTCTCTAAATAAAATACAAAATAGGGCTGGGGCCTGGGCTCAGTGGTCGAGTGCCCTTGAGTTCAATCCCTGGTACCCTCCTCCCCCCAAAAAAAAGAAAGAGCGACCCTGGCGCAGAGCTGTCTGCAGAGAACCGTCATAGGGTGAGGGTTAGGGGTTAGGGTGAGGGTTAGGGTTAGGGGTTTGGGTGAGGGTGAGGGTGGAGGTTAGGAGTTGGGGTTAGGGTTAGGGTGAGGGTTAGAGTGAGGGTTAGGGTGAGGATTAGGGTTAGGGTTTAGAGTTAGGGTTAGGGTTTAAAATTCGGGTTAGGGTTAGGGTTAGGGTGAGAGTTTAGGGGTTAGGGTTAGGGGTTAGAGTGAGGGTTAGGGTGAGGGTGAGAGTGAGGGTGAGGGTTAGGGTTTAGGATTAGGGTTAGGTTTAGGGTTAGGGATTAGGGTGAGGGTTAGGGTTTAGGGTGAGGGTGAGGGTAAGGATTAGTGTGAGGGTGAGGGTTTTGGGTTAGGGTTTAGGGTTAGGGTGAGGGTTAGGGTTAGGGTCTGGGGAAATGCACAGAAATAACCTGTGTCTCCTGAGGATGGGGCTCACCAGGAGAGTGTGGCGTATCCACATGATGCCAGGCCCCAGGACAAGCTGTGGTCAGGAGCCTCAGGTGGACATATGAAGCGGTCAAGTTCACCGCAGCAGGTGACAGTCATCCTCACCAAGTTCCATGTGAGCCCAGGCTGGAGCCTGGCCACGTCCACAGCAGGACAGTGAACCACAGGGTGGCAGATAGCGCAGGATTCTTTCTCTTTTGTGCAGAAGGTGTGTGTCCCACCACGTCCGTCTGCCCCTGGGCTTAGCTTGTCATGGAAGGTGCAAGGGCAGGGCTGGTGGGGCTGGACCTGCAGGGCCCCTGTATGTGTCCCCTCGTCCCCACACGTCCTGTGCACCTCTGAGCTCCACCCCCACGGTGCCAGTCCCAGCTCTGCTGTCCCCGAGGTCCATGGATAGCTGGGACAGCAACCCCACCCTCTCCGACCCACTGTCAGGAGCGCGCCCTCCACGGAGCTGAGCCTGGCAGGTGGCATGACACTGGCCATGTGCCCCCCTGAGCCGCTCCCTCCTGGGTGGCCCAGAGGACAGCACACACTGATTCTCTGGGCCCGTAGGGATCAGAAAGGGTCAGTCCTCGTGTCCTTCATGGCTGAGCCAAGAGAGAGGTGACTTTTCCACAGGAAAATCAGGTGGTCTCCGCGAGAGGGCAGTGGACGGCAGGGGCCAGCGCTTCCCGGCTGCTGTCCCCGCGGCTCCCCCAGGAGGGATCCTGCATCAGACAACAGAAGGCCCAGGTGCCAGACTGACGGGTGGTGAGGCCTCCTTAATTAACAGACCCTCCGGCAGCTTCGTTTAGAAGCTCAGCTCGGGAGTTGGCACCTTTAGACGGCTCCGGGCGGCAGGTCCAGCAGCCCCTCTGCGGGCAGCCGTCCTTCCATCTGGCCCTGCTCTCCGCCACCAGCACCTCCCAGACCGCTCACAGGGCCCTGGATGGCTCCAGGCTCATGCCCTGCCAGTCCCCCAGTCAGCCAGCCCTCAGCTGGGCCACCCTGCAAGCCCGAGCCTCGGACCCAGGCAGGGGAGAAGGGGGCTGAGGAGCGATGTGGCTGACCGCCGAGCTGACCTCTCCTCCCGTCTCCATCTGCTTTCCCATTCCTGCCGCGTGGCGCTCGGCGGCCAAGCCCACGCCGGGAGCCCTAGCACGTCTCGCTGGCTATTAATTAAAAACACAAGTGGGGGGCAGCCGCTGGTCCCTGGCTGCATCCTGCTCGCGGGGCCGCGAAAGACACGGTGCCAATTAACAGAGGGCCCGCGTGCGCAGGGAAAGCGCCACTTTACGAGTGACTGATCCGAGGCGACCAGCGCTGCAGTCGGCCCGAGGGCCAGGAGAGCCCCCCCGGCTGCCCGCTGTGGGTGGCGCTCACGCAGATGGCGGCCCTCAGCCTGCCCGGGAAAGCGGCCTTGGAGTCCCCGGGGGACAGAGTGTGAGGGAAGGGGGGCCCGGTGCCGTGGTGTCCTGCTCAGCCTCCTGTGGGTCCCCGCTCTCCTGTCCACCTGGGCCTCGAGGGGCTGGTCTGAGGCAGCGTCGGGGCTGCTCACTGAGCCGCCTGCCCAGGTCACCAGGGCAAGGCACAGACGCGGTGGCTTCGACAGTAGCTGATTTTCTCGCATTTCCGGAGACCACAGGTCCAAGGTCAAGGAGTGGACAGGGCTTCGCTCGGTGGGTGCAGCTGGCCCCTTCTCACTGTCCTCACGGTCACCCGCAATGTGACCGGGCCAGATTCCTCCCCTTATGAGGACAGCAGTCACGCTGGACTGGGGCCCACCCTCATGGCCCCATTTTGGTTTAATTACCTCCCTTTCTCCAAGTAGAGTGTCCTTCTGAGATCCGGCGTGCCTGCCTAGGGACGGGGAGACGCGCCTGGGGCAGACGAGCTGAGGACTCAACCAGGAGTGGGGACCCCACCACTGACCTCCATTCCCAGTCCTTCCTGCTCTTGATCAGGAGACTGGGTTTTGCTTATTGGCTGAGGGCCTCACTAAGTGGCTGAGGCTGGCCTCGACCTGAAGTCCTCCTGCCTCAGCCTCCTGAGTCACTGGAATTACAGGCCTGGTCCACTGTGCCCGGCCGACAGGGATGGTTTCAGAACATTTCTACTTATTGGCAAACCTTTAAACACAGTGCTCACCAAGCGCGGGGAACACAGTCGTTATCCTTTATTTTGCTGTTTTAGTTGGGGGCACTGCTGGGCACGGAGCCTGGGGACGCACACGTGCTGGGCAAGTGCTGGACACTGAGCCACAGCCTGGCCCTGGCCCTGGCCCTGCATTTCAGATGCCTTGCAAATCTACAACCAGGGTAGCAGACCTGCCATGGTCATTATTTTAGTCGTAGAGGGACACGATACCTTTATTTTATTTATCTGTTGTTACGTGGCGCTGAGAATCCCACCCGGGGCCTTGCGCGTGGGAGGCCAGCGCTCTGCACTGACCCCCAGCCCAGCCCTGGCCCGGGGTGCTGTCCTCGTGGTAAAGACGGGGAGCCGAGACCCTGAGGTCAGTGTCCTTGCCGAGGCCCTCCCGAGGGGCAGACTGGACGCGGGCGGCGGTGTCTGATCCTTTGGTGATCTCTTTCTCTTCCTGAAGGACAACTGGAGGATGGCGCCAGGGGACATGGGCGATGCCGTCTGTGTGACCATGGAGATCCTGTCCACCTGGGGCAGCGTGTCCCGGGTGGGCCTCACGGAGGTCGAGTTCTTCGATGTGAGCAACACAAAGCTCTACGTGTCTCCTCACGACGTGGCCGTCCGGAGCTCCGGCTCCCCAGGGGAGCTGGGCAGTCTGGTCAACAGGAACTTAGCCGTAAGTGGACGCCACCGGGGTCGGCGCCTGGCCGTGGGTTTGGGGTTTCCTCTGCCCTCGTGACTGGGCTGGGTGTCCTCCCTGGGCCTGTGGCGCCTCCTGGCCCCGCCCACCCTGCCCCGGTTTCCTGGGATACAGTTCAGCCCTTTCATCTGCCTCCCGTTGTCCACCGTCCCCACCAAACTCAGGGCCTCGGGGGTCATTAGTGTCCTGATGTGGTAGATGAAGAGCTGCCGCTTAGAGAGGGGCCTGGACGGGGCCCCAGGCAGACCGCACAGGGTGGGGGAGCCCACCAGGCCCACCTCCTGCAGAGCCGCTCGGGCCTGGGGCGCACACCCCCAGGGCCTGCCCCCCCAGGTCCTGTCCCCCAGGTCCTACCCCTAGTCCTGAGGTACTCCATACCCCCAGATCCTGCCCCCCTAGTCCTGGGGTACCCCATCCCCCAGGTCCTGCCCCCCTAGTCCTGGGGTGCCCCACACCCCCAGGTCCTGCCCCCAGTCCTGGGGTGCCCCCCAGGTCCTGCCCCCTGTCCTGGGGTGCACACTGACACATCCGACGCTCAGCGCCTTCCTGTCCCTTGGAGAGCTGTGGTGTTGAGCGCTGGTCCCCGTCCTGTCACTTCCGCGCTGGACACGAGACCGAGAGCCAACACAGTGGCCCTCGCTGGCAGTCCCAGTGCCTCGGAGGCAGGCACAGGATGGCATGAGCCTGGGAGGTGGGGCCAGCCCTGTCCAAACGCGAGAGATGGGCAGAGAGCCGAGGGACCCTGAGCTGAGCTGGGCTGGACGGCAGCCACGTCGCCCCCTGCTGTCCCTCTGCCGTCCCTCAGCGTCCTTCGTGATCGTGTCCGGGGGAGTCCTGAGAAACAGAGATCCCCGCGGGCCGGGGCTGGGTGGGGAGGGGACGGGTGTAAATTCCCTCCACGAACGTGAGTCTCCCTCCCCTAATTGTTATTTTTTTATCACTCACTTTCCGTGGTGGGTGGCTCAGTGTCTTTACTAATGTTTTTTGTGGTGCTGAGGGTGGAACCCAGCGCCTACGAGGGCTAGGCAGGCCCGGCCCCGGAGCCCCAGCCCCAGCCCTAGGCCAATATTTAAAAGCAAGTTCATTTCACGTCTCGTGAGTGCCAAGGCCAAAGGGGACGCCCTCCTGGTCATGCCAGGGTCCCCGCGGTATCTGAGACGCTGAGCACGGGGGTCTGGTCTTCAGGGGTGGACAGCAGCGAACGAGGTTCAGCTAGAGAAGTGCCCAGGCTTGAGGGCTTGCTGGGAAGTCCTGGTGTCCCCAGGGAGACTGTCCTGCCTCGGCCTCTGGGTAGAGCAGTCCTGTGTCTCCAGCCTGGCCATGGGGGGGGGACACACTGTCATGAAGGGGGTGCTGGGGAGGGTGGCTGGGTGGGCTGGTTAGCTTGTCCCCAGGTTGCTCTGCGGAGGTGTCCAGAACCCAGAGGGACACCAGTGGACCGCCCAGGGCCAGAGGCAGGTGCTTGGGCTCAGCTCCAGCAAGATGCCTGCAGGGCGGGGGGACCCTGCGCACAGGTGGACAGCTGTGCAGTAGCCGGGCACAGCTACGGGGGGGCCTCTGAGCCCCTCCAGACCAGCAGCAGGGAGGGTGGTGGCTGCTGGGCCTGGAGCAGCCCTGGCCGGTCCCCACGCCCTGTCCCCACGCCCCTGGGCAGCAGGCAGCGGGCCCTGGAAGCCTGCAGCTGGCCCAGACTGCACCCGGGCCATGAGCCGCACAGCTGGGCTTGATGGGACCAGTTCTGGCCCTCGCTGTCCTGCCCCTCTGTCCCCAGAGGCGATGGGCTTTGCCGTGTGGTGGCCGAGGGGACGCTGGTCCGTGGCCTCGATAGGTTTGGGTTATTTGTCGGGCTCACTGAGGTTGGGACACAGGCAGCTGTGCCGGCCGACTGCTGGCCTTCTGGACCCACTGGGGGGGGCTGGTCCTTCCTGCTGTCCCTGGAGCTGGAAGCCTGCGAGGCCTGGGCCATCGGGGACGTGTCTCACACGCATGTGCCACCACAGCCTGGTGAACCCCCACGAGCCTTACAGTGGTCCCCCGGGTACCGTGAGGAGCCCCGAGGGGGAGGGACCTGCCCAGGCGGCGGCAGAGTCTGGGGGCGGGGAGGGGCCGGGCGTGCTGCAGCCCTGGGCAGCCAGGCCCAGGAGGCCCCTCCCTCTGCGCCTCACCTCTCCCTGGCCACACCTGACCCACGGCTTCAGGGTGACTCCAAATCTGTGCCCCAGCCTGGCCCCTCTGAGTGCCCAACGTGGACGTCCCCCACCAGCGGGCAGCTCCTCAGGCAGCCATTAGGCCTCAGACTCCGAGATCAGAACCTAAGTTCTAGTTCCTCAGCACGTGCCCCCCGTCTTGTCCCCGCCACTGTTCCTGTGCTCAGTAAATGGCATCTCTGTCCACCCAGGTCCCCAGGCCCACCACCCAGAGCCTTCAAATACGCAGATGTCCTATGAGTCTGTGTTTATTTCCAAATAAAGAGTTTTGTGGTTTTTAACCCAGGAATTGAACCCAGGGGCCCTTAACCACTGAGCCACGTCCCCTGCCTTTAAAATATTCTATTTAAGAAGGGCCTCTCTGGGTTGCTTAGGGCCTCTCTAAGTTGCTGAGGCTGGCTTGGAACTTGTGATCCTCCTGCCTCAGCCTCCTGAGCCGCTGGGATTACAGGTGTGCACCACTGCATCTGGCAAAAAGTATTTTAAATGACCGTATTCATTTAAAAAACTTGTACATGAATGTTAATTAGTGGAATTGTTCATAATAGCCAAAATATAGAAACCACCCAACTATACATTGACTGATGGACAGATGGTGAAACATGGTTTGTCACTACAGTGGAATATTATGCAGCCATAAAAGGAGTGGAGTGTTAACACAGGCTGTAACGTGGCTGAGCCTCGCCTGCTCACCAAGTGAAAGAATCCAGACGTGGAGGCCACGTGTGATTCTACTTACACAAAGTGGCCACAACAGGCAAATCCATAAAGACAGAAAGCAGTGAGCGATGACAAGGGACTAGAGAGGCCAGAGTGGGAAGTGACTCCTAATGGGGACAGGTTTTCTTTTTGTAGTGAAAATGTGCTGGGAAAAGATGGTGGTGATGGTTGCACAACCTTGTGAATATGCTAGAAAAACAACAACCCTGAATTCTACACTTTTAAATTGCGAGTTTGGGCTGGACGGGCACACACCTGTACTCCCAGCAATTTGGGAGGCTGAGGCAGGAAGATCACAAATTCGAGGCCAGCCTCAACAATTTAGCAAGACCCTGTCTCAAAATCAGAAGGGTTGGGGGTGTGCTCGGTGGTGGGGCACGTGTGCAAGGCCCTGGGTTCAGTCCCTAGTGGGGGGACTAAGTCAGACCCAAGGCCTCCCACAGTCCGTGGCCTTTCTGGGACTGGCTTGTTTCCCGCCCAGCGTCCCTGGGGTCCATGCCGAGGGCCGTGCCCATCAGCGGTCTTTCCCTTCTCATGTGATTCTTCATTAAACGGGTGTTGGCCTGTGGGCGGTCCACCGCCTTGGTTTTAGAGTCGGGGAGTGGCCTCCGCCGAGAGGCCTTCCCTCCCTCGTGTCCCCTCACGCTGACTCCTGGCGCTCTACCTTGGTGCCTGTCCTGCGCGTTTCTGTCCTGGGAAGCATGTGGCTCCTGTGCTGGCAGCTCCTGAGACTCATCGGTCCCCTTCCTCACATCCTGCCCCCAGCAGGGACGCGGCACTTGGTGGGCAGGTGTGGGCAGGCACAGGGGCCTGTCCACCGCCCTCACCTCCCGTGTTCACGCGCGGCCTGCGTTTCCCTCCTCAGGTCCCTTTTGGGCCTAAGCCTGGAGGTAGGACTTTGGGGGCCCAGAGCTGGGGGGTCCCGGCCGTGCCTGTGCCCTGGGGTTTCAGGAAGTGGCCTGATCCTTGGGCTGCCCACTTTCTTATCCCCTGTGGTGGCTAGGCCCTGGGGGTCAGCTCGCGCCTTCCCCCATGGACAGGACACTCCAGAGGCTCCGTACTGACGGCCCAGGGCTGTCCGCGGGTGGATGCTCTTGGACTCTCCCACCCAGGGAACGGGGTCAGCCTGCCATCTCTTCCTTTGTCAAGTGACCACAGTGACCCACTTCAGGCCCTGGCCCCGGGAAGGACCTAGAGTGGTCCCTGGGGTTTTGCGATGGTGACCCCCGCGGCTGCCTGGGCACTGACAGTTCTTGCTCAGCTCGAGGAACTGGCCAGAGTAAGTCAGAGCCCCTTGAACTCGTCTCTCGCCCTTAACAAAGGCCACCTCCTCCCTCCTGAAGGGCACCACTGTCACCAAAACAAGTCCCCGTGTTCTGCCCCACAGCTGGAGCCTGGGCCTCCGTCTCCTGGAGTCAACAAGGCCCCAGGACCAGCCGTCCTCCTGCCTGGCCCTGTCCAGCCGCAGGCCCGTCCCCGGTGATGGGGACTCTGGGAGATGCTCCCAATGCAGGGCGATGCTCCTCTTAGGAAGAGGGACCCCGGGTGGTGTCAGGCAGGCAGAGGGCTCAGATAGGACCTGCTGAAACCGCTCAGCCTCTAAACAAGGACTCCAGCCCGATGCCTGCAGGCCCTACAGGACACAGGAGGGCAGTGAGGCAGTTGGGAGTGGTGGGGACTGTGGCAAAGGAGTCCTGGCTCCAGGGCGTGCACGGGTCCCGGCGGTGGCCTGAGCTACCACCCAGCCCAAGTCTGCAGAGAAGCCGGAAATATGGCTCTTGGGGAAACTCCCCGTTTAAAACCTGGGGGTGCTTGCCCACTGAGCCCCGTCCCCAGCCCTTTTAAATCTTTTTTATGTACAGACAGGGTCTCCCCGAGTTGCTTAGGACCTCACCAAATTGCCTAGTCTGGCCTTGAACTTGAGATCTTCCAGCTTCAGGCTCCCGAAAATCTCCCCCTTTTTAAGAACTGGTGATGAAGTTTGTTCTGTCTCATTCCCTGAGCCATCCCGCACCTCTGCCGGCCCAGCCCAGCCCAGCCCAGCAGGCGCTTCCTCCTGGGAGGCTGGACGGGAGACACCTGTGTGTCAAGAGGCACACCGGGCTCTTCCGCTCACTGGGTCACGTCTCCATTTTGTCCTTGTTGTTGGCCGTGAGCCGAGGACCCTGCCAAGGGCTGACGGTTCTGGAGAGAGGGTGGCGCAGGCTGAGAGGCGCTGACCCGGGCGGGAGAGCAGTGCCCGTGAGCCGCCTGGGCACATGCTCCGCTCGGGGACTCAAGGAGCCCAGATGCCCCGAGGAGAGCCCTTGTGTCCGGGAGGGGTGACGGTGGGGCCTGCGTCCTGCTGCTGGTCTCCCAGGACGGGAGGGCGTGGCCAGCTGCAGAGGCCCGGCGTGGACACCTTCGGGTGCAGCTTTGGGTTTTGTTCCCTGGACTGTAGACGTCCAGAGAGACAGGGGGTGGTGACGACAGCTGAGGAGGCCCCCTGAGTGACTTTCTCCGCCTGCCACCAAAGCACCCGCCACCTGACGTCCTGTTGGTGCCAGTGGAGATGACCTGAGCCCTGCCCTCTGCCCCGAGTGGACAGAAAACCCCAGGCTCCTGCCATGTCCCCATCCCAACAGGTGCCAGAGGCACCGCTGGCCAGTGACCCCAGGGCCACAGGTGGTGGCTCTGCCTGTCTTTCCCCAGCGCCTGTCCCTGCCCAGCGCCTGTCCCTGCCCAGCGCCCTCCTCAAAGCCGGTTAGGCCGATTAAGTAAAGCCCGCTGCATTTCAAATTCCATCTGGCGGGCAGACCCCGGCCGGGTGGCAGCTCTGTGCAGGGACAGGCCGGGCCCATGGTGAGGCGCAGGGACAGGCCGGGCCCGGGAGGCGCAGGTCAGGTGGCGCAGGTCTGGAGAGCCGCCCAGCCCCCGGGTCCTGAGGGTCACTGTGGGGGTGCCTGGGAGAGAGGCAGAGACCCGCCTAACGAGTCCCCCCTTGCTGGCCTTTCAGAGCGAGAGGGACCCCCCTGTGTGGACCTGCCCCTTCCGCCCGCCACTCCAGCTGCGTTTTGTCGTCAGGAACCCGAGGCAGCACCCCGACTTCCGTCTGGCCAAGGTCAAGGTGGTGAACTACTGGACAGAGGACGGCGTGAGTAACGGCTCTGGCTCCTCGCGGGCACCTGGTGGTGGAAGTGTCGTCACCTGATTTCTGAGGTTCTGAGGGGTACGAGGGGGCTCGGCTGCTCTTCCTCGTGGGTGCCACTGTGAAGCCTGCTAGAGACTTCACACCTGCTTCCGTCAGAGCCAGGGGAACAAGCTCCCAGTGGTTGGGGAAGTGATGTCATCTAGCACCCCCACACCCTGCCACTTTGGGGAGACTGGGAAAATAGAAATTGAGATTCGGTTTTACAGTGAAGGAAACAGAGAGGTTATGTAACCTGCCCGAGTCACACAGCCAGCCAGCCTCGCATGAGTGTGAGCCGTGCCCTCAGACTCAGGCCCGTTCTCTAAGCTGTCGCTTCCCACATGGTAACCTAAGTGACGCAAATTCAGCGGACGTGAGGCGGGGCCCGAGAGTTCCTGTGTCCAGCCCGCTCCTGGGTGTGTGGAGTCGTGCTGAATGGTCACCGCAGGCTGCAGGGCCCTCTGGCTGAGGCCCCGGCCTCCCGTCCTGCCCTCACACCCGCCTGCACCCCAGGATTCAGCAGGGAGCAGAGCGAGGGGGGAGGGCAGGGCGCAGTCTGCCATCTTGTCCACCCTCTGGTGAGGGACAGAGGGACTGAGGGACGAGAATGGCCACTCCTGCCCTTGGGCCTTCTGTCAGGGAGGCCATGGTCAGGTGAGGTGACAAGGGACCGTCCCCAGCCTCAGTCTTATCAGAGGGACACTGGGGAGCGGTGAGGACTGTGGCAGCCTGTGGCCGGGTGAGGAGGGGCCTGGGCCAGCCCCGCCCGGGGGCAGGAATCCGAGGTCGCCTGGCCTTCCTGAGGTGAAGACCCCAGGAGTCAGTTCAGGGACTTTCAGACCACGATGCGGTTCCAGTAAGACCCCTCTCTGGGCTGGAACCGGCCGCCGACCACATGGAACACGGGGATCGGGCAGGTTCCGGAAGGTTCTGGGCGCAGAGAGGCTGCAGCTCCCAGGAGCAGAGGCAGAAGAGGAGTCTGTGGTCCTGGTGGAGGGCTACAGGGGCGTCCAGGTGCAGGCGCGAGGCCGCCTGTGTGCCCCGACTCTAGGCCCTGCCCTGCGGTCCGTCCAGCGGCCCCTCCCCGGGGGCCCTCCCTCTTCTCTGCTGCTTCAGACCCTCAGAGGCCCCCGTTCACCTGAGGACCGCGGTCAGGCCCTGAGGGTGATAGCAGAGTCCCTGTCCCCTGTGCCAGACCCTGCCCCCTGCCCTTTGCACTGCACCCCACATGTCCCATTCCCCACTGTCCCGAGTCACCCTGCCTTCCCTGCCAGGCTGTGGGCACCTGGAGGGCAGAGCCTGAGGTGTCTCCGTGACTGCTCATTCAGAGGACACAAATGATCCACGAGTGAGTGAGTGAGCCCGTGCTCCAATGACCTTAAGAGATCCGGGGGAGAACATGAGGATCAGAGAGGTCAGGTGATTTGCACAGGGCCACACAGCAAGTTAGGGGCAGTGCTGGGAACCTGTTCCTGTGCAGTGCGTCCTTCCCTCCCATCCTCTGGTTCTCCCGCCCACCCCACCGCAGCCAGCTGTCTACCTAGTGACCTTGTCCTGAGCACCCATCCACTGCTGGCCTCTGCAGAGCTGGACATCAATGAGGCAGACATGACCCCAGCCAGCTCTGTGTGTCCACAGGAGTGACACTGACCACAGGAGGGATACAGAGCCTCTGATTCCTGCGTTTTGAGTTTTTTAAAACAATCACCTGAAGTTTAAATCTGAGGAACCTAGGTCCAGCCCTAGAATGACTCGGGAAGCTTCCGCGGGCCTGCGCCCTGCTCACTGGCCCCCTGCGCCCTGCTCACTGGCCCCCTGTGCGCTCAGAGGGCGACTACAGGCCCCGGATGCAGCCAGCACCAGCCCCTAGGCCCTGCGCCCCGTCCCCGGGCCTGCTGGGCACCTCCTGGGGTGGGTGGGAGCCCTGCTGGCTGCCGCGCCTGCCCTGTGGCCCCCGTGACACTGACACACATCTCAGCCTGGATGACGGCGGCCTTTCTGCTCGGCCCTGTGCTCGGCCCTCCTTGCGTGGGCAGCTCACAGAGGGTTCCCGTGGCCCTGGGTGGGGAACGCGGAGGGCGCTGGGCCCGGCGGGCACCCTGACGTAAGGCGCGGCCATCTGTCGCCAGAATTACCGGCGCAGCTGCAGGTGGGTTTGATTTAATCTCCTCCAGAGAGCGCGGCGGCTGGTCGGGAGGAGGTAGGATGAGCGTTTACGGGCAGTGCGGAGCCGGCGCCAGGGCTGTGAGACGGTGCCGTGGGGGGAATCTGAGGACGCCGTCAGGGGAGCTGATGGCCCCGGCTGCTTCAGGACACAGTTCCCTGCAGGTTAGGTCCCAGGTGTAGGCTTTCCCTTCGCCCTTGGTAGGCGGCACAGCGCAAGTGAGCTGGCCAGGGGACAGCTGGGGAGGGAGGCGGAGGCAGAGGCTGGCCTCCATCTGCACATACCTCATCCAAAGGTGGGCACAGCCACTTGTGCCCTGACAGCTGCCGTCTGTGGAAGGTGGCAGGTGTCGGCACCTCGAGGTGGCCAGGGAGTTGACGAGCAGGGGACAGTCCCTGCGGGCAGTGGCCTTCCCTGGAGGGGCAAGCTGGGCCAGGACAGTGGGGCCCGCGGCAGGTAGACTCTCCCCGCCAACTCTGAAGGGAAGGGCCGCCGGGTGCTGCCTCGAGGGGATCTGGAACCTTCCTCTGGCCCCGGAGGAGGGGAAGCTGCACCGACCTGCACCGCCTGCCTGGGGCTGGGGCAGGGTGACAGAGGGGCTGCCAGGTCTTCCACGTCCCCAGATGACTTGCCCAGCCCCAGGGCGCAGGGGTGGCTCTGGGAGGGGACGAGCACCTTTGGTCCCCCCCCCCCCCCCCCCCCCCCCCCCCCCCCC